TGCTTATCATCCTCAACCACGGCATTGGCGGAGCTCTGGTCAATGGTTGCATAATAGAGACCATCCAATACGCCCAAGTAAAGGATCGGCCCTGTCCAGCTTGAATGATAGTCTCTATCCCCTGCAGTCCCTGGGCTTCGCCTGTGTAGTAGTGAACCTACCTGGTGCCGGGGGTACTGTCGCCCCCTTGCCCGCCAAGGGTGGTGATGGTAGCCTCACGCCATGTGCCAGTGTACTGCGTCCATCATTCAGAAGGGAGGTGGCTGAGGCAATGGATGCCATCGACAGGCGACTTAAGAATTGGGATCAACTGCAACAGCAGCAACAGCAGGTACGTCATGTCCGACCCCTTTCCCTTATACTGTTGTCTGTTAGACCGCCACACCACCCCCGGGGTCCTCAGACCCACGCTCATCCCCAGCAGTAACGCCTCGGCCAACGGGGTCAGCCTCGACATCAGTGTCTCTACCTAAGGGCCTCATTGCCTTCTCTGCTGGAGGCCTGCATGCCCTAGATTACTTGGCACACTTTACCCCTCGGTCCTCCTCGACTCCTGACCAACAGGCCGCTGAGGGTGGTCCTGATGACCACGGTAGTGCTGGCACTTGTTCGGTGGCTGCTGCTGGTATTGGAGCCTGTGCCTTCGGTCACGTACCGTTAAAACCAGAGAAGTGGGCCGCCGACTCTAGTAGTGCTAAGCGAGACTTCTTAGCTCGCTGTAAAGTCCAACTTCGGCAATGCTGTGCTGCTGGTGACTCTGATCTAGAACAGTGCCAAGCAGCGATGAAAGCGGAGACCCTCCTGGAATTCGAGACTGCCATGTTGCCACTGACGGGCCCGTCTGTCGGACCCTTCAAGCCCTACGACAGTATATCATCCCTCACCATCCCTGTGTGTCTGTACTTCTCCCGGGACGATCCCACTATAGACTTCGATTCGGATGTTGACCTGCTACAACTCGCTGTAAAGGGCCGAGAGCATCTAGTGACAGCAGTGACCGAGACTGGTGGCCACTGTGGGGGCTTCACGACCAGCTCATTGTTCCGTTCTCGGAAGCCTTCTTCTAAGCGGGATAGTCTTGGCTCTGGAGTGCGCTATCCCATCACCTTCATGGTGGACTTCATTGCTGCTAGCCTACGGCCAGTACTACTATAATATTGATAACTCAATTCGATAGCACATTTGGAATATTTGTTTCCCATGTACCTCTCTAGCTTTGCGTCTTCTTTTGTGGCTACTCTCACAGCAATCCCTCCTCTCGTAATAGTTGTTGTTCATCTCTCCGTCGCCATGCTGCTCCGTTTCTACCTCGACAACAATGGCAAGCGTGTGTATACGTTGAAGCAGTCAGTGCCGGCCAACGATGGTAAGGCCCTACCTGCCAGGAGCACCTGTTGACGTCTTGGGTGGTCAGGTTCGGATAGCGAGCAGCCCACCTTCAGTGCTCATCCCGCGAGGTTCAGCCCTGATGACAAGTAGATGTTTTAGGAGTGTCCCTGTGGGGCCGCATTGGGGTTGTGGTAGGTACTCGGCCGAGCGTGTGACCATCAAGAAGCGCTTTGGTGTCCTCTTGACGCAGCAGCCCAAGCCGGAGTTCTAAGTGCCACTACTACTACTAGGCCCATCACGACGTACCAGTATCTTACCATCATATATGATAGACATTGCGTTTAGAGTTAGTGGAGGGGGGAGTGGGAGGAGAGACCTCGCGACTTGACAACAGAACTAAGCCGTAACATTTCATGTTGCTTATCTCACACAGAGTAGAGTCCCTCGATGGCTGATGAGCCCCTTAATGGTAAAGAGAACGTACTTGATATCTTAGCGGGTTTCGCTTTCGATGAAGGGCACCAAACGGTCCTCCGAGGTGACGGTGCTTGTTGGTCTGTAAGCTCTGGTAGTACTAGTTGCAGATGCACATGCAATAACACCAGCGAGGAGGTCCATCAGAAAGGTAAAGGCTGAGTCGGGGAGCCCTAAGGAAAGGCCTCGATCGGCTACTAAGAGGAGGATGTCGAATAAAGAGGCATTGCAGCGACATCGAGGTGAGTTGACTTTATGACTGTCCGTCAGCAGCACTGCATCGATTAGTAGCTACTAAATCTATGGTCATCAGGATTCCCCCCAAGCGTTGGCGACTCCCCAAGAGTGTTGATACTGGGCTCGGCACCCTGCGAGATGTCTCTCGAGAAGGGACAGTTCTATGGCAACCCCCGGAATCACTTTTGGGCTGTTATGGCCTACGCAATGGATGACCCTACATTTCCCATGCTTGACTTCGAGGCACGGTGTTCAGTCCTGCGCTCTCGAGGTATCGCCTTATGGAACATCTGTGATGTGTTTACGCGCTATAAGAGCTCTGATGCCACTTTGCACTGTGAAGGTGAGAAGGGGCCTCATCGATGCAACCACCAACAGTAGTCTATGCAGAGTACACGGACATTGCTGGCCTGCTGGTCGAGCATCCGACGATCGGGTACATCCTCTGCAACGGCAGTGCGTCTTATGATTGCATGTTGAAGTATGACCTGGCTGCCCGGCTGGAAGTCAGTACAGGTCTACAGCCGACGCCTCTACCTCTTGCTGCTCAGGCTCGAGGCGCCGCCCAAACAGTAGATCTGCCGGTGATACTGAAGCTGCCATCAACTAGCCCAGCTAACGCCATGGCTGACCCTGTTGGAACGAAAGGGAAGGTGTGGAAGGAGAAGCTTCAGGAAGCACTTAGTGGCCCTCAATGTCGATGATGACAACCCGAGTTCTAGTATACTACAGTTCATGTTTCATTTATCAATCATCGTCTCGATTGTGCACTATCATCAAGTTGATCAGTGGTCGTTGAGTAATGGAGTCATGGGATGGCATGGTCAACTCATCATTTCCCGGCTGTGTTCGTCAGGGCCTATGGATGGAGGAATGAGGAAATTCAATCGAACGGGGATACCGCGATAAGCTCTTTGGTGAACAGTCCAACCATCCAGCGGGTACTGTGTGATGGTTCGGCGGCTTTCAACAATGGACGCAAATATGAGCCCGTGGGGAGCAGAAGCAACGTTCACATCACACTCGAGACCGCCGAGTCGGCGGTCTCGGGCATGTCAACATGTCGGTGCCCTGTTATGGTAAACGTCGAAGGAAAGGCGTAGAAAGAGCCGCTACGGGCCTTCATTCATGCTAATTGATATGTCTCGTAGGTATTCTACAATGACTTTCGTCTTTTATTCCATTCCTATATCACTTGTGCATAGTTTCTAGCATGTCGCTTGAATTCGTAGGAACGGCACTCACCACTCATAAAGGCAACAACACCAGAAGAGTCATAAACGCCCATAACACACGAGCAAATTTACAGAGCTTCACTTATAAAAGATTCATACCGCTTTTCTGTCACTCCGTGGGGAGAGTTCTCCAGTCATTTCCCGGCAGCCTGAAACGGGATAGCGATACTCGTTGAGTCCTGACACGATGACGTACCCGAGTAAGCGTCGGCATCGCCTAGGGCAGCACCTCAGACACAAAGCCAGACAACAGCACCACTGCCAAAGCAAGCTGGGTCGATGATGTATCCGGGGTGGTACTGGTTTGGTGGTCGTCTGGAAAGAGTCGTCACTGTCGGGGATGGACGCAGTAGACGCTGGGCTTGAGGGGATGTCGAGCTGGATCTAAGAGAGAACTATTCTCAATCCTCGCTGTACATAACACGTCAAAAGGGATATACTGTTGGTTACCTCATCAACTAGAGCATCGTCTTCAGCACTCAGCTCCTCCCAAGTTGGTATGCTTATACTCTGCCGCTTTCCTTCCACCACGAGTGCTTCTGTCTGTGTACCGTTCCACTCACTATCGTATTCATTGACAGCATTAGTAGCCTCCCGTCGGACCAGGGAAGCGACTCTAGCGTCCTCATGCTCGAAATGTTCGCTTATTTCCCCGCAGAGCTTCACTATGGTGCTCAGCCAGTTCAAGTGAATGCGAAGATGCGCCAAGTAGATTAAGACCGAACAGACACCAATGACCCCTCGCCAGCTGTCCTGAGCATCCAGGAAGGGCTCAGTGAGAAGTCTAACCGCATAGCTCTGTAGTAGGGGATCCTCTACTTGTTGGAGTGTCTCGGCTGCTCGACAAATAACGCCGGGGGAAATCGGAACCACAGTCGGATTAGTGATGGCCGAAATCTCGGTAACTATACATAGCTCCTCTGGGGAGAGAAATAATCTATCCACAAAACTGGTCATGGTGATGCAATATCAACTAAAAATAGGAGGCTATATTATCATTCGACAGCCGATTTGAAGTACCCCAGATAGCATTCAAATGCTCTGAAAACAACCTAGATTCGCCGGATGGTCTATACGCCGCAAAATACGGCGACATGAGGAATCCTCATTGTGTCCGGTGGGACTATTAAAAGACAGTGCCAAGTTAGCCCAATACCAGCGCATACGGCTGCTTTCCGGTTTGAGCCCGTTACATACAGTAGTACTGTAACAGTACATACCACCCTCGTGGACCAACACTAGCGATAGTTGGCATAGGAAAGCTGGCGACACAAGATTGTGCATGTTAGAGCTGAATGCATCGGGTAGTCTATGCGGTGGGAATAGACACTTCCTAGCATGCATATACAGGCTATCAGCAGCTTGCTTCATCTCTGTGAATGGTCTCATAATCGCATCGTCTGTCCTCTTGTCGAGACCTTCGAGCGTCTTATCGGATCGTAGTTGTTCCCAAACCTGTCACCACCGACTAGGCCTACTCCCAAGGCGTCTTCTTCCTCGTCCAACCTTGTTGACATGATCTCGAAAATGGCGTATACTTTGAAGTTCCGCCGGCTTAACATGACCGTGGACATCATCGAACCTCGCCGGATGAGCACTAACAGCCTCCAGATCGAGCCGTGGTAGCAGTCCTGCATCGTCTGGGAGTACGTGGAAGTCGTGGCTTAGACTGAATAGCAACAAATCACACCACCAGGATTGGTGGATGATGAAGACCACCCATAGAGACTCACACGTTCTCAACCTCTTCAGCTCTCTCTACAGCTTGTCTGAATCGGAGCATGTCTAGGTTGAGATGCCATGGGATGCATCTGGCCAACCGCACAATGCCTTTCAAATACTCCACTGAGCTCTTTACTTTTTCGGTTCAGGGCTCTGCCACAAATGCTCGGCGTGAGTCCCATCAGCCCGTGTTGCGTCTGCGACTGACTTCGCCATATGCCGCATTTCTTTAATCATAGCAGCAGCATTTGTAGCGTGCACCGTATGGGGATCGGGCTCTAACAGGAAGCCTGCTCTATCCCAGTTGTAGACCGGAGGACATTTCCAAGCATCCGATCTTAGCTCTCGAGGTCGCCCTTACTGTGAGCTTGCCATGGTCCATGATGTGTGTTCAGGTCTTCGCCATCCTTAGCATAGAAGGGCCAAGGGCCTCCGAACCCTATCTGGACGGTAGCCATGCTAGCTGGGCCCTCCGATGAGATGACCGGTGTGTAGGGTTTCAAACCCACTTGTCCACGAGAGTCTATCTCTGTTGAGCTATGAACACTCTTCAACACATGATTGAGGAACGCCATAGATCTATTCAAGCCACGAAATGGTATGCTGCACACGATGAGCGGTACATCAGTCATCAGCGTCGAGATTCCGGTTTCCTATCAAATAGTGTATGCGCTCCCCGAACTGTCGATAACTCGAGACCATGACATACACAACAACGGCATGAGCGGCGTATTCATGATTTCAGAATACCGTACGATAGAAACTACAGGCAACTTATAAAAGGACTAAACTCGATCTCCTTGGCCATCATTCACTTCGGCATCCTCTATCTTCTCAATCGAGGGCTCGTCATCAGGAGCTGCAATAGGGAGTCCATCATGGGGACCAATCACCTTATCGGCGAAGAACCTGTGTTGCCTTGCTGCATATCTGATAGAAAAACCATATAAACTCTTCTCCTTCACTATAATGTTACACTAAAGGGGACTGACAACTACTGCTTTGACCTTGGCATAGACAGGCGTTCACCACCCGTTCGGCACGCTTTCTCAGACCCCATGGGACGAGGTAGTCGATGATGCCAATAAAGTACTTGTATCTATCAACACCGCAAGACCAATACATGCCTTCCCAAACACCAGTATACAGTGTTAGAACTTATGTTCGCTTCCCTCAGCTGAGCTTAGGAGTTTTTTCGTTAATTATATGAGTTAACATACGAATTCGAGTAGAATTGTATGGAAACCAACGAAATTTTCTCACAATTTGCCACTAACACATGTGGTCGGCCATGTGCGCCATTGCCTAGACGGTACATTCAAGCGAGATGGTGACTATTGATCGGCGTCCCCCAGGAAGTTACCTCTGGAGCGACGGGAGCGTCGAAGAGATGGGCCCGTGAACGCCTCGCCATTCCTAACAGTGATTGCGATGGAGGCAAAGCAGGTAACAACCTACCCATCCGTTGCCAACGTGCTGCCTTATAGTCGAGGATATGGTCAAGTTGGATCGCAGACTTTGCCACGTCGATGATGACAGGGCCTTCACAGAAGAAGACCGACTATTCGATACATTCACCTGATACAGCAACCTCTTTCCAGTTCTCACTACTCACTAGAAAACGTCAAGAAAGTATCTCATTAAATCCGATAGCCTCAGATTGAGTGATACGACTAAGTCCCACCAATCGTATCATCGGCAGCAACTTTGTTAAGGCCGTCCTCCTCAACAGCCTCACACCCTTAGTATGCACACCGGCATCACTGCTCTCCGTATCATGTACACCAACAAGCACTGAGTAGTCCGTCACCTAAGCCCACCGTTGAACGCATGCTAATGGCTAGCCCTCAGGCTCACCCCATGTCGTGCCAAGAACTCCACATCAGCCTTATGCGTCGATATTAAAATACTGAAAACATTGTAGTGCTTCGCTCCGCCCTAGTTACGATACAAAATTACTCTTTGCATTTATCGGGGACATGTATCTTATTGCCAGCCTGACTCCAGTTCAGGTCCTTCTTAACAGTCTCAGTATCCCCAGCTTTGCGGTTTTTCGACGTGCCTGTATGCCACGACATTACTCCACATAGATAACTTCAACCTCTAAGGCTCGCAACAACAAGAACAGCATTGGGTCCGTCGACAGTAGGGTTTATCAAGCTGAGCTCTCAGGATGATTCAAAAAAGCCCACAAAAAGCAGCCCGCAACAAGTGTTGATGGCACTAGTATGCTACCGTGTTGGAATATATGTTCGTTTCCCTCGGCTGAGCTCACTAATTATGGAAGTTCACATACGAGTTCTGGTCAAAATGCAGAGGAACAGGAATGAGCATTCCCTCAGGAAACTTCCTTAGAACTCCTCTAATGCCACCAACACATGCAGTTGAGCATGTATATATTTTATCACATATATATTCAACTACGTCGAGTGTAGCTACGAAAACCTCCCCTGCAGGATTGACCTACTTCCTTTTAGGTCATATTGAGCATGCAGCCCCAAGGACCCGGTGTCGAATACTGAGGTGGACACCTACGATCAGTCTCGATTAGAGAAGGGTGCCATTGCACTTACGAAGAACCAACGCTTATAGCGATCTCCTATATGCAGCCGATAGAGTCCCAGCATACGAGTGAGGAGAGACCTGAATGCCAACAGCGATGGGATGGATGGCAGGATATACTGTTATATCAAATGGCTCCGTTGGAGTAGAACTAATCCAAGTCCTGTCACACAGTCGGTCGATGATGGCGATTCAACGTGATATCATTGTCAGTATCCATCACCGACTTCAAAACTAGCCCATATGGTAAAGGCGAGCCAACGATTAGGATGATCCCTACACTCAATCGTACTGTCTGACGTAATGCTGGTACGATAATGACCAGCGGCTGATACCCTGGAGCCTTGCAAACGTCCGAGTCCATCTAGTTCGCTACCCCGAAATGTCTCAATACTGGGATATGTTGCTTGCTCCCAACCCACCTATGGGAGGTCACATGGTGAGCATAGTCCCTCAGCATCACCAACAAGGCCTCAGCCTCCTCGTCCGATATCGTCTTCAACATGAACCTAAGCTATGCTACAGCTGCAGCTACTACAGAGAGGCTCTTACTTCCCATCATGGCTGAAGAAGAAGAATTCTCCGGACTTGCTGTTGGTCGTGAATTCGATGAGGGAAAAGCCTCTTTGGCAGAGACTAGACAGGTACTCCTCATCCGTGATACAGCATCGACGCCGAATGTACCTCAGAAACTACTGTCAGCGAGACTGCGGCGCCAGCGGAAGACTACTGGAAAATTTCCGGTGCTGCCTCTTCGAAGACTAACCTGTTGGGTTTACTTATGTGAGGAGGGGATAAGCGGGAGCCACTTGGTGGTAACAAATAGCTACCTGAAAGAAAGACACCCCAAAGAAAGATACAGAGCAGACGTAACCATTCCCTCGCCTACGTCTAACTGCAGCAGCCACGTTATCGATAGGCATTAGGTCCGACCCTTCCACCGGGTGACTGGTCTCTATAGACGGCCATTGAGGATTCAATTGCTCCCCTGCCCGTATCTAAGGTTCCTCATGGAGCCCATTAAAGCAGGAGGCCTCTCACCGTAGCCTCAATGCCAACCATCATAGCATATGCAAGAGCATAGTTAGCCGAGTCGATACCAACCAACTTAGCACCTTGACACAATCTCGATAGAGACGGATCCCGTGGAGAGCAACATACCTCTTAGATGCTTAGGTCGACTCTTATGTGTCATGGGTGAATTGCTGATGTTGGCTCGGACCTCCTCACTGGGTAGGTCGGACTCCGACGCTTGTGTCGATACTGATCCCGAGAGAACTACTCCACTGCCTTTCTATGAATAGTGTGGAAGAATATGCACTACATGTGTTGGTGACAACATGAAGATTTTGAGGAAATTTTCCGGGAAAATTTTATTGGTTTCTGTACACTCCTACCCGAATTCGTATAAGGAAAGCAAACATATATTCCAACACGGTCGGTCACAACGTCAACATCCACGTCAAGTGAATAGATAGGAAATAATAAACTTGAAATGTTATTCCCTATAATACAACATCATGCGATATATTATATAGTATAAGACGGAAATTACTTCCTCGTTAAGAAGTCTATTTTTCCTCACCAGCTCGAAAATAGAGTATTTCACGCTGACCGAAGGTGAATGCCAGGGCAACATGGTGAGGTAAATGCGACTTGCCTAAAATATTTGAACCGTTCTGGCGTGTGAATTTATCATTCGCTAGTACATTCGACTAACATTGATTGTCCATCACAGTATCTAAGCGTTGTTGGAGTTGCTACCTAGTTAACGTGAAAGATCAAATTTCCGAATAAGGGTGCGAAAAATACGCCCATCATTGCAGGAAGTGCCGTAAACGACCGTGAGAAGGAGGCTTACCATCGTCACTCGCCACAAAATTCCTGCCTCCATCAGCTTCAAATTCCCGCCACAGCGACTCGATCTTGCCTACCATTAGAAAAGACTACAGTACACACTTCCCCACTGACTCCTTCCCGCTTACTCCAAATTGCTGTTTTCATTGTTGTAACCGAAGGTTTGGTATCGGCGGCATCAATGATACCAGCACTAGCGCATCCATAGCGGACCTCATGGAGCCTAGGCGAACGTGCGTCATAAGCGTGGTGCCAGTAAGACGCCTTACATCTCCTCTTTGGTGGCTGCACTAAAGCCTACCTCTGACGACGACGACACACCATCAAGCGCAAGTACCTTCTCTGAAACAGAGCAGTATGTATCGCTATACACATTAGAGGCTACTACCCATGAGGTTGCCTATAGATAAGATACTCCCAACAGCATCAGCCTCTCTAGTCTTCCGAAGCCACATTGCGAAGTGGCCGACCTCCAAGGCGTCTCGGAATACATCACCACTCCGACCGTGGAGAACACCGTCACCACCTGTGATCAACGCTTACATGCCTTACACGCAGCAGTTTCCCCTCCATTTTATCATTATCTTCATCACAAGGTCCACGATAAAGTGGTAGAGATTCAATTCGACATTCCAGAATATTCCGAACGAAATTGCTAGAGCATATTGGGAATATCCTCCCTCCCTATTCGTATATCAATGGCTACTGTGCATCCTAACGTGAACATGGTACATTTGAAAATCAATAAGCCAATAAGGATGTGTCCGACACGAGAACTGGATCCAAACAAGTATCATGTTATCGGTACTCGCTGGTAACGAGAACGACGAATGAAGATTTACCGACACCCGTACTGTCTTAGTATGCATTATAACCGTTGGAAATTATCCCACAAGTTCACTTCTCAAGATGGTTGTCGGACCATACAGCGAGATGCATTTTACTGTGGTTGGTCAGAATTGAAATTTATCCATCAATTGATGGTATTACCATCGGTTGAGGTTCCAGAGGCACATCTTGCAAACATCAAACGAATATTAAACCAACCTTAGAGAAAACTATGGTCACGTAGCACTAAACTGAACTCAAGCGATTGCATGGAAGATTGAGAAAACAACGGCAATGTACTGCCCGAAGGAATGGCAGCTAGTGTAACACGTATACAGTGTCCACATGTATAATCGAGCACCCCTCGAGAGCATCGCAGTAGCGCCACCATCAGGTAATGCCACTACAATGTAATCTCAAGTGCCAGCCGGCTCGGCAGACCTCATCACGCTGTGCCTGCCGACGAAACCACAGCAAATGTATGGAAGACGCGTAGGTCAACAACCTGCCAGTGTTGGAATATATACTCGCCTTCCTCGGCTGAGCAACGGAGTTTCCTCACTAATTATTCAACTTGATATATTCGATTAGAAGTGATCAGAAATCAACAAGAATTCCCAAAAATTTACTCAAGTTTTTCATATTGTCACCAACACATGTAGTTGACCATGTGCAGATGCTTCCCCACTGCAGCCTGGATCTGTGATGTAATCCTAGACGATCGAGTCACCAATGATGAACACCGAACTTCTCCATAAGGCACCTCCGTATCTCACTAATCGTGAGGTGGCAGGTTGGAATTATCAACAGACATATATAACTGATAATGAAAATTGTGAGTAGAAGGAAAGAATATAGTGAATAAAGAATTACCATATAAATATATATGTATAAAATAGTGACAGTAACTGTATGTATACAACCGCCATAACTTTCCATAGCCAATGAAATAGGAGACCTATCATACACCATTAGAAAGACCTTCACGAGTAATGCATATCCAACCGTTCAATTCACAGACTTCGACAGTTGCTCGGTAAAATTTGATTCCTTGACAAAAGCTTTGACGTGGCTCGATATCTTACCTCGGCTCCCTGCAGATTCCCAAAGAGCTGTGGATAAAACAGAATCAGATGGAGCAATTTATACATACACTACAGCTTGTAATTACCTCTAATTTACAGGTGATAAAAATTGAGTACGCAATTTCTTAATCGCAGTTCGGCTTGAAAGTATGAGATGAGACTGAGTGTAAGTATACAGGAAGCCATCGGAAGCCTAGCAGCAGCCGTAGCTGTACATCCCTAACTAGCGCACAGTCGTTGCCTACCATAGCAGCCTTCCAATAAGGCATTGCCCGGTTGTGATACTGGTTTACATCAGTGAGGACGCCCACTTGCAGTGACCTACGATAAACAGTCGTGCAATTAACGAACATTGAAAGTTCTATGACGAAGTCGAAAATTCGAAACTCGTAATTGAATGTTTTATGAGAAATTTGAAGTTTCGAAAGTTCGATTATCTCGAACTTCAACTTCCAATCGACCTTAAGACGAATTCCAACGTTATATGGCGAATTTGAAACTCGAATAATATTTTGCCTTTCCGAGTTCGTACTTTAACTTCGCGTATACCGATAAAATTTGCAGTTTGAATTGGATGCCTAAAAGGTAGAGTTTATATTACAAAGTTGCGCTCACGTGGCTACGCGGTCCAAACCTGTGCGCATTCCGGTCCCAACACGTGCAAGCCCGTAGGGGGTTTGTTTTATAGTGGAAACGCGGGCCTTCGGCCCACTTTTAGCTCTAATGCCTTCTGCAACCCTATCAAGTATAACCTTAAATTGTGACTGAGTGACGGCGATTCAATGCCCAGTGGCGCCATTGCGTAAAAATACATGCAATTTGCATAAATTGCGCAGCTTGAGATTTGAAGCTTGCTGAACTAACATTCTCAACTAAATGTCCGTGGAGGCAGTTAGATTCCCCCAGATACCTGCCTCACCAGAACACCAGTATAGCTGCTGTAGCTGCCGACTGCTGGTGCTCGTCCTCAGGCGCTCTACTACTCATACCCGCTTGCATCCGTTATTGTGATTCAAACAGTTTGAATCACAATAACGGATGCGAGCGGAAGTTTGAATCAAACTTCCTTCTTTTTTCTTACTTTCCCCAGGTAGTCGGAGACTTGTTGACTTTCAAGCCCGGTCCTCAACCAGGTTAGTGTCATCCCATTTCATCACCGTTTATGGGTCAAGCGGCTTGGGTCAAGCCTTCCGTATATGCCTCTCATCAACTTGAGCAGATCAAGGGTCATTTGGTCTAAATCTGCGAGCTCATGTAGCCCTTGATGCAGCCGCTCCTACTTGTTCCCACTTGCAGGTAGCAGCTGACAGCGGCCTGGTGTACATCGTTATGATCAATATAATGAGTCATTATTAATGACCCGATGCCTTCCGCCGGTGTGACTTGTGTATCACTTGTCCTCAGTTTCCGTTTAAGCAGAGTAGATGGGTTTGAGACGGGTCCAAAGAGTGGGTGGGGGAAATGACGCTTCCAGGGTTGTGGCATTTACCTGCCTACCTACCTGTGAGGCGAGGGCTCGATCAAATTCAATATGGGTATACAGTCAGGGGTGTAGGATTAGGTGAATATCTTTGTATCCGCCGTTCTGCTATCAAAGCTTGTTGCAAGTCTACGACATTTCATAGTCCAAGCTTGAATGCTTCTTGTTTCTGAAGCCATTTCCGTAGCTGCGTGTAGCTTACGTATACCAACTCTCGTGTAACGTGACTCGTGTTCGACACTGAGAGCAATCCTATTCTTAGACGAACTTGTTGCTCTGCATGATACCGTCTTTGATTCTCCCTCTGAGGCATTCAGAGAACTTCGAAGCCCTCATAGCATGTCCAATGTTAGTGGTGGTCGGCGCTGGCCCTTCGGTGGCATGCCTGTTGTTGTCAGTGGTGACCCTTGCCAGCTCGGCAGGGTCGCCTTCTGTACCTCTGAAGCGCACCCCGAAGACACCTACCCCGTGGAGCCCTGCTGGCGTAGCGAAACTTGGTTGGCTGTTGTCTGTGCCTATTGATCTCTTGAGATCTTGAAGTCTTGCTGTTCTTAGTAGTAGAATAGCTATTTTGTTCGTTGGCTGTGGCACAAAGTTATTTCCTTATTTCGGTGTACTTGATACGAGACCTATCCTATCTTGCACCTACCCTATCTTGGCTATACTTGTGTTATCTCAATACCCCTGGTTGGAATAGATCAACAATCATCCGAGAACTATAACTGGTGATGGTTAAGAAGAAATCCCCCAACTCTAAGAAGATAGAGGAAGAGGAGGTTGACTCTGATGAGCATACAGAACAGCACCACCGACCAAGAAGCTCTATACTGCGGGAATGTCGGAAGGAGGCAAGGGCCGAACTAGAAGCGGCTAAGCACCCACATTGGAACCCTTCGGAGAAGGGGCCCTCTATCATGGAGCATTTTATGTCTACAGAACGGCTTATGGGCCAACTTGCTATCGGTATCACGACTCCAACGGCTTACTATATGCTCCTATATTCATTGAGTGCTAGAGTTCGGGATGCCTTACCACCTTGCGATTTGAATCAAGGCCGATTTGAAGATCTATACAACAGCTTGAAGCTCCAACTCCGACATCAGTACTACGATCCGGGTGACATCATCAAGCTTAGGGCTGAGTTTAACAGCTTAAAACAGAAGTCAGGGGAGTTGGTCTCTGATCATTCGTATACAGTGGATCAATATGCTAGTCGACTGAGGTTACAAGGAGATGTTGTGACTGATGACCAGTTATATGACCTTTTATGTAATAGTCTAATGGCTCCGTATAATGACTGGATTCTGGCTTATCGGTTACAGAATGTGGCTTATGAACATGCTCGTATGATGGTCCTCAGTCGGAGTCGTTCTCTCAATAAGCAGCAGACTCAGAGTGTGGAGAAGACGTTGCCTACGCTGCTGAGGTCACCAGTGACAGAGGTTCACATTGCAAAGACTGTGGATACCTATCCGCAGGATGAAGAGATGACTCAAATGTTGGCCTTACCATCCCAATCTGTGAAGCCTTATATAGATTTTGATAGACTACGAAGGGAAGCTCGATGCCTAAGATGCTTCGAGAAAGGCCATGCGGCCAAATCATGTCCAGCTCAGTTACCTGGTATGTTGGAATGTCGGTGTTTATGCTGTGGTCGCACAGGACATGTGGGGAAGAATTGTCGACTAGCTGCGAAGAACAAGCAACTCACATGTCAACGGTGTGGTGGATTACATCATGTACCAGCAGTGTGTAGAGGAAGGATCTTATCGAGTCCTTCTCAAGAATCTCAGCAGAAGGAGGCCACTCCTATGACTCATGAGAGTAAGCCAGGAGGTGAGGGTACTTCTACGACCAATGCGTACTCTCTCCTTCCTGCGACTGATGTTACCTGGCTTGCTCACTCCTCGGCCTCAACTGCGGCTCGTGTATCACCCTTGACAGCTGGTATGATGGTGCACTATCGTTCTTCTAATTCCAAACCTCAGCAACATCGAGTTCTCTTGCATACGGGGGCAGCAAGGTCCTTCGTAGCTGAAGCTTGGGTGAGAGATCATTCTGACTACATACATGATACAAGAGGAGAGAAGGTGGAGGTTATGATGGCTGATTGTCGCAAGTTTACCTCTAATACTGCTGTGTTATTGCACTTTTCTGCTCCTGGCAAGTCAGATGTGATCCCAGTTTGGTGTCTTGTGAGTCCAATTCTCTCTACCTCTGTGATATTAGGTATGGCAGGCCTACGTTGTATGAATCTAGTATTGTATCTGTCGCCTGATTCGATACTTCTTAAATCCGGTGT